AATTATATATATATATATATATATATATATATATATATATATTTTTTTTTTTTTTAAACTATAGTTAAAAAAAACAACAGAAATTTATCCATTGCCGGTCTGGAGGCTAAGAGTCCAGGACCAAGGTGTGGGTAGGTTTGGTTTCCCGAGGCCGCTCCCTGTGGCTTGCAGATGGCCACCTTCTTGCTGTGGCCTCACGTGGCCACGTGGCCTTCCCTCTGTGTGCGCATGCTTGGGGTCTATGTGTCCAAATGCCCTCTTCTTACAAAGATACCAATCATATTGGATTGGGGCCCACCATAGCTCTAACAACCTCATGTTAACTTCATCATCTTCTAATGGGCCCATCTCCAAAGACAGTCACATTCTGAGGTCCTGGGATCAGGGCTTCAATATATGAATTTTGCAAGGGACACAATTCAGACCAAAACAGCTATATACCTGAGGGTGGAATTGCTGGGCCATACAGTAAGTTTATCCTTTTAAGAAACTGACAAACTGGTTTTCCAATGTGGTTATGCCACTTGACATTCCCACCAGCAATGTTACGAGGATTCCAGTTCCCCGTCTAGACTTGGTATCGTCAGCCTTTAAATTTAGTCATTCTCCTGGGTGTGTACCCACAGCTCGCTGTGGTTGTTAATCAGCACTTTCCCACAGAGAATCTTTTCATGCACTTATTGACCACCCATATATTTTTCTTTGGCAAAGCGTCTGTTAGAACCATTAGCCCATTTAAAAGCTGGGTTGTCTTGTCATTATTGAGTTGGAAGAATTCATTCTATATTCTGGATAGTATTATCCTCTGCAAATATTTTCTCTGCAAATATTTACTTTTAATCTTTGAAAAAGAGAACCTTCCAAAGAACAGAAGATGTTGATGGTGACAAAGTCGGTTTTACCAATTTTTTAACCGTTTGTGCTTTTTATGTCCTAAGAAATCTCTGCCTATCCTAAAGTTGCAAAAAAAAAAAAAAAATGTCCATTTTCTCTGAGGAGTTTTATAATTTCAGATTTGATGCTCAGCCCCATGATCCATTTCAGATTTAATTTTTGTGCATCATGCTCAAAGTTTCTGTTTTCTATATGGATATTCAATTGTTCCAGCATCATTTGTTGAAGAGACTTTCCTTTCGGTGGATGCTCTTCAAAATTATCCTTTCCCCAGGGGCTCCACGGTTGGAAGGAGTTGCTGTGACAAATAGACTGCATTTGTTAATTAGTAATTTATTTCGATTCCCATCTTTCCTTCTCAAAGACATACATAACCGCCAGGCTTCTGATCAGCATGAGACAGCGTTACCACACTGAGCAGGAGGAATTCCAGCCAAAAGCAGAAAACCTGACATCTAGTTAGCTGGCTCTGGGAGACCGTGGATAAACATAAACGCTCCCTCAGGACTTTCCCGTGCGGAGAACAGGCCCTGGATCTCCACCCCCAGCCCCACGATGAAAACCTCCTCTGCACTTAGAGGGGGACTTTGCTCTCCCTCCTTCACACCCGCAGCCTGTCTGTCTCCTTATAAAAGAGCCATTATACATGGGAACACGCCAGGGGCACCTCCCCAAGAATTCCGCAGACGCCACATTAACCACCACTTACCGAGGGCTTAACAAGCTCCAGGTGCTACGCTAAGGCCCTTCGACAGTGCAGCCGGCGATGACTGTCTGTTTTATGGACTGAAAAGCCGAGGACCGGAGAGTTGGGAGCCCTGGTCCAGGGTCACGGGCTGCTAAGTGGGGAGCCCGGTTTTCCACCCAAGTCCACTAAGTGCTCAACCACGAGGGAAATCTCTTTTTGACTGTGAATCTGATCTAAATACTTCCAGAAAGGAAAACAAAACAAAAGCAAAAACAAAAAACAATCCTCAACTGGAAGGAGAAAGATAATTAAAACAGGCATCTTTTCATCCTTTGGAGTTCAAAAAAAAAAAAAGAAATATTTGGTAATCCCCTGGGCTGGTGAAGGTAGGGGAAACAGGCTAATCCCTGTGGGGGGTGAATGAGAGCAGGCAATTTACACTCTGAAGTCAATTTAGCAGTCTCTGCTAAAATCTCCTTGATTCAGTACTGCAGTCGGATTATACTGATGGCAGAGAAGGTGTCGGTTTAGGCCAGTGGTCGGCAAACTGCGGCCCCTTGAGTGTGGCTCTTCCACAAAATACCACGTGCGGGTGCGCACGTACAGTGCGACTGAAACTTTCGTGCCACACTCAAGGGGCCAAAGAGCCGCATGTGGCTCTCGAGCTGCAGTTTGCTGACAACTGGTTTAGGGGAACTCATAAGCACCGCTGGTGGGAGCACTGACTAGAACAATCTTATCGGAGAGCTATTCTGCAAGGCCACTTCCCAGCTTCTGCCCTAGACAAATACGCACACGTTCCCAAGGAGGTCAACATAAGGATTTTCACTCCGGCATTGTTTGTGATTATATGATCCTATATTGTTTAATACTTTCAGAATTTTGTTTTGCTTTTGAATCTAAAACACACACACACACACACACACACACACACACACATCCAGTCTTCTGATTATGTGCACTAAAGAAACCTCCCCCTCCCTCCCCCCAAAAAAGAGGAGGGTGTGGCAATGGCACCCTGAGCCTTGGGTGCGGGAGGAGGGAATGGAAATGAGAACAGAGGGCTGGTCTCTCGGAGGCCTCCGCACGTGACTCCAGAGTGGAGCGGGGCCCAGCAAGGCTAGTTAACATTCCAGGACCCAAAGAAGCCTGCAGCCTGGAGGAGGGGGCTGCAGATGGGTTTTCCTCATAGGGCAGCTAGGGGATGGGATTCGAAGCCCTCTTTGTAAGTCAGTGTCTAGGGAAGTCTGAATGGCCAGGGGTGGGGAGAGAGGAGGCCACAAAGGGAGAAAGAACAGAAGG